GAGTGATCACAGATTTTCGTTATTTTCTTGATTGGAGCGTTATTTAAGAAACTATAGCCGATTTTAGATTTCTGATATAAAAATCGATTATTAGTGGAAAATATGAGTGATCACAGATTTTCGTTATTTTCTCAATTGGAGCGTTATTTAAGAAACTACAGCCGATTTTAGTTTATTCATATAAAATTTAATTTTTATTGCAAATTATGAGTGATCACAGATTTTCGTTATTTTCTTAATTGGAGCATTATTTAAGAAACTAAAGCCGATTTTAGTATTTTCATATAAAATTTGATTTTTAGTGGGAAATATGAGTGATCACAGATTTTCGTTATTTTCTTAATTGGAGCGTTATTTATGAAACTACAGCCAATTTTAGTTTTTTCATATAAAATTTGATTTTTAATGGGAAATATGAGTCATCACAGATTTTCGTTATTTTCTAAATTGGAGCGTTATTCATGAAACTACAGCCAATTTTAGTTTTTTCATATAAAATTTGATTATTAGTGGGAAATATGAGTGATCACAGATTTTCGTTATTTTCTCAATTGGAGCGTTATTTATGAAACTACAGCCGATTTTAGTTTCTTCATATAAAATTTGATTTTTAGTGGGAAATATGAGTGATCACAGATTTTCGTTATTTTCTTAATTGGAGCGTTACTTATGAAACTACAGCCCATTTTAGTTTTTTCATATAAAATTTGATTTTTGGTTTGAAATATGAGTGATCACAGATTTTCGTTATTTTCTCATTTGAAGCGTTATTTAAGAAACTACAGCCGATTTTAGTTTTTTCATATAAAATTTAATTTTTAGTGCGAAATATGAGTGGTTCACAGATTTCATTACTTTGTCAATTGGAGCGTTGTTACAGAAACTACAGCCCGATTTTTGATTTTTGCATATGAAATTTGATTTTTTAGTAGGAAATATGAGTGATCACAGATTTTCGTTATTTTCTTAATTGGAGCGTTATTTAAGAAACTACAGCCGATTTTAGTTTTTTTCATATAAAATTTAATTTTTAGTGCGAAATATGAGTGATCACGATTTCCGTTATTTTCTTAATGGAGCGTCATTTAAGAAACTACAGCCGATTTTAGCCTTTTTCATATAAAACTTGATTTTTAGTGGGAAATATGAGTGATCACAGATTTTCGTTATTTTCTCAATTGGAAACGTTATTAAAGAAACTTCAGCCGCGATTTTATTTTTTTCATATAAAATTTAATTTTTAGTGGGAAATATGAGTGATCACAGATTTTCGTTATTTTCTTAATTGGAGCGTTATTTAAGAAACTACAGCCGATTTTAATTTTTTCATATAAAATTTAATTTTTAGTGCGAAATATGAGTGATCACAGATTTTCGTTATTTTCTTAATTGGAGCGTCATTTAAGAAACTACAGCCGATTTTAGTTTTTTCATATAAAATTTGATTTTTAGTGGGAAATATGAGTGATCACAGATTTTCGTTATTTTCTCAATTGGGGCGTTATTAAGAAACTTTTTTCGTTATTTCTTAATTGGAGCGTTATTAAGAAACTACAGCCGATTTTAATTTTTTCATATAAAATTTAATTTTAGTGGGAAATATGAATGATCACAGATTTCGTTATTTTCTCAATTGGAGCGTTATTAAAGAAACTACAGACGATTTTAGTTTTTTTCATATAAAATTTTATTTTTAGTGAGAATATGAGTGATCACAGATTTTCATTATTTTCTCAATTGGAGCATTATTAAAGAAACTACAGTCGATTTTAGTTTTTTCATATAAAATTTGATTTTTAGTGAGAAATATGAGTGATCACAGATTTTCATTCTTTTCTCAATTGGAGCGTTATTTAAGAAAACTGCTGCCAGTTTTAGGGTTTTCATATAAAATTCGATTTTAGTGAGAAATATGAGATTTTCATTATTCTCTCAATTGGAGGCGTTATTTAAGAAACAGCGGATTTTAGATTTGTAGAATAAAAATCGATTTTTAGTGAGAAATATTATTGATCACAGATTTTTACTATTTTCTCAAGTGGAGCGTTATCTAAGAAACTAAAGTCAATTTTAGGTTTTTCATATAAGAATCGATTTTTAGTGGGGAAATATGAGTGATCACAGATTTTCATTATTTTCTCAATTGGAGGGTTTTTTAAGAGCTAGAGCCGATTTAGTTTTCTCACATAAAAATCGATTTTTAGTAAGATATATGATTTTTGCTATTTTCGCAATTGTCAAAAATTAATTTACTAAGATTCGACGAAGTGGAATATTGCCTTTTTTAAGTTGTATGAAGTCCCTATTTTATATATGGCAATTTTAAAAATAAATATGTTAATTACTGGTATTCCGTTTTTATTTAATATCATTGAAATTTTTAAAAACACACCTAAAAGCATTGCCGTGTATGGTTGTTTGTAAGTCGCCGCCGTAATTTTGAATTTCAACCGTCGTCGAAATGTTTGTCGTCGCTGGGTTCTAATCGTACGCCATTGTTTCTTATTGTTTTTGTTTTGTGTTGACTTTGTAATCTACTGTATCGTTATTTGATTTATTTCTGTATTTTCAACAAAACGACGACGTTCTATTGTTAATTACACTATTTTCGACTGGCTGCTTACTGACTTGGATTAATCATCAATTAGTTGTTAAACCTAAAAGTTCTTTGTTATTAAAATAATATAGTTAGAAAAACAAAATGCGTAAGCATTTTCTTTTAATTTGTGTGGCTATCCTGACAATAGGTCAGGTGATTGCAAATCTTGATGCCGAACATGACCTACTATCGGATGAGTTCATAGAGATTGTGCGTAGTAAGGCAAAAACATGGAAAGCTGGCAGAAATTTTGCCAAGTCAGTGCCTAGGAGCCATATTCATCGTTTAATGGGTGTACATCCCGATGCTCATAAGTTTGCCTTGCCCGAAAAACGTTTGGTATTGGGAGATTATGTAGGGTTAGCTGATGGTGAGATACCAACTGAATTTGATGCCAGGACAGCTTGGCCAAATTGTCCCACTATTAAAGAGATTAGAGATCAAGGATCATGTGGTTCCTGTTGGGCTTTCGGTGCTGTTGAGGCTATGTCTGATCGGGTAAGTTGTGTAGTTTTATAGGCGTCCACTATTGAAATGTAAATATAAAATTTTCCAAAGCCAATATAATGCAAATATTAATATCAAGTAATTATGTACTTGAAAATGCTTTGTTATGCTTTTATTTCAAATTTTTTCACAACACAATTAGGTTTTTAAAAAATTTAAAAAATTGTGATTAACCATATTTTGCATTAAAAATTTATTTTTATATGAAAAACTTAAATAATTATGTAGATCCTTAAAAATAAATAGCCCTTTTAGGTAAAGAAAACTAAAAATTTATGATAATTTCTTTAAACCACTACAAAATTTTAAATTGCTACAAAATCATATATTTTTTATTGGGAAATTATTTCTTTAGAATATACTATATGCAACTGATTAAACATTTAAATTCATTGCGGTTTTTGTTTTCAAAGAGTAACAAACTCAAATTGAAGGGAGTACAATTTATTGCTGATTATCAAAACAAAAGCAACAACGCAAATTGCTGTTTTCACAAACCAATTGTTATCAATTATTTTTCTGATTTTTTTCACAATAGTCTTTGTATTGGCTTTAATAACAAGTTAGATGCATTAAATAAAAAATATTATTCTTATCTCATGTTTTGTTATATTTAGGTTTGCATACATTCCAATGCATCGACACATTTCCATTTCTCTGCCGATGATTTGGTGTCATGTTGCCACACTTGCGGTTTCGGTTGTAATGGTGGCTTCCCCGGTGCCGCCTGGGCCTACTGGACACGTAAAGGTATTGTAAGTGGTGGTCCTTATGGCAGTAACCAGGGTTGTCGTCCCTATGAAATTTCTCCTTGTGAACATCACGTGAATGGCACTCGTCCACCCTGTGATGGTGAACATGGCAAGACACCTCGTTGTCAACATCAATGTCAGAAATCCTATAACGTCGACTATAGCAAAGATAAACATTTTGGCTCTAAATCATATTCGGTTCGTCGCAATGTTCGTGATATTCAAGAGGAAATTATGACCAATGGTCCTGTCGAGGGAGCCTTTACTGTTTATGAAGATTTAATTCTCTACAAGGATGGCGTTTATCAGCATGTTCATGGTCGTGAATTGGGCGGCCATGCTATTCGTATGTTAGGTTGGGGTGTCGAGAATAACACTCCCTACTGGTTGATTGCCAATTCCTGGAATACTGATTGGGGTAACAATGGTTACTTTAAGATTTTACGTGGTGAGGATCATTGCGGCATTGAAAGTTCTATTTCAGCTGGTTTACCTAAACTTTAAGTTTGAAAATAAAATTTAAAAATAATATGTAATTTTAAAACTTCTTGCAATTATAAATTTAAACTTAATTAAATAAAGTCAATATAGTCTAATACATATATGGTGTTTTTGTTGAAAGGAAATGTGAATCTGTATTTTTAAATCAATTATATTTTGGTATTGAAACAATATTTTAACATCAATTGACTGAATAAGCCAATTTGTTGCTTATGGCCGATATTTCAACCTCAAATGAACTATATTCTTATTCCTAAAAGTATTATTGGTCATTGGAATTCAGGGATAAGATTCCTTCATAGAACAATGTTAATTCACTAAGCTTCAGGCAAAATAAGAAGTGAAACATAAAATAGTAAAATTTTGACAATTTTATTATTTTAAATTATTGTTCTTTTTATTATTATTTAAGTTTTTGGCTGTAAATAATATTTTTATTACTATTTTTACTAGAAACAGCAACGACATTTCTTAATTATATTTTAGAAGAAAAATTCATTTTATTTTAGTTTCTGATTTATGACCAATGGTGGTAATAATTTTATTTTTGAATATTAAAATTTTACAAACTATATTGTTTTTCAATATAAATTTCAAATGTTTTTGAGAAAACCTGTAACAAATAGTAACAACTTTTAATTGTTGGACAGAGTTAATTTAATAACTGACTCTGCTGTATTTACAAACGATTAGTTAGATTTTGTAGCCTCTATATATAACTGCTTTGGTTGGCAGAGTGTGTATTTGTTTTAAAGCAATACATGAGAATCAATGAAAAAGTAGATTTTTATTTTGTTTTATAAATAATTCCTGTATTTTGTTTAACATAATTATATATTTTGATTTAATTTTATACAACTTAACACACTAATTTATAATTAACAAGATATTTTGTAGAAATATCCTTAATAATACATACAAAAATATATACATATACATCACATTAGTATCTCTTAGAATCTATCAACATTGTCTGACGACGCACCACCTTCTCGTTTCCACAAAAACCTATGCTAGACATAGGGATTCCAATTACTGCCATCCTCTGGTGTCAAACGATTGGTAATCAATAGAATAATATCGACTACCCACCAAACGCCTACACCCCCCAAAGTCAACAGTTTGCCCACAGCCGTACCAGTTTGTCCCAAACAAAAGCGATCCATACCCAGGAAACCCAAAAGCAAACTATACAGCAAAGTGGTAAGGAAATAATGTTCAGAATAGCGTATACAGGGTACACCATCACGTTGAAATGTCCTGGGGCCATGGCAATCTATATCAGGGAAGACTGTACACTGCACCTTGGTGTGTTCGACATCTTCATAGTTAAGGCCACCAAACTTAAGACAACCATAACCTTTTTCCTCTTTGGCGGTTTTATTCAGTTTATGATCAATAGGTTTATTGCATTCTATAAAATCATCGGGTAACATGGAGCACAACACTTTGGGTCCCCAATAATGATAGACATTGGTGTTGTCAGCAGTGCGTGATGATGCCACAGCTCCTGAAACTTGTTGTTCACGGTCACTTCGTGCTTGTATGGCAAGCGAGCTATTTATTAAAGCTAAAATCAAAGCGAATATTACAAGATTATATTGTATGGTAGCCATTGATTAATTGTAATTCTATTTTATTTATTTTTTGTGAAATTTAATTGTTTGTTAAAAATTTCTCCAACAATAATAATAAAACTGTCACTTTTTCGTGTTATGTTGATTTGATAAGAAATCATACAAACTGAGATGATAGCAAAGTGTTTTGTAAATGTCACAAGTCAGGGATGGAAAAATATTGTTATTTACGTTTACATTTGATGCTATTGCCAACTATGTGTGGCTACTTAGTACAGACAACAACCTGCTTTATTACAAAATTACCAATTTCACAGCTGATTGGTAAATTTAAGAGAGCAGAAGTAATAAACTCGGTTTATAAGGGAATTTTAAAAGTAATCCAGAGACTTTTCTCTTGAACTTCACAAACAAACAAAAATTTCTTTCTTGACCTGATTTAGAAGTCTGGCTGAGTGCTTGGCTTAAACATTTTTAAGTTTTAAACAAAGATTGTAGTTGAAAAGCAAACCATCAAGACAGAACAACGAAAAATATAGAAAAACTAAAGAAAAGAAAGCAAAAATAAAGTAATTAAAAAAGTAATAATACCAAACAAAGATAAAAATTATTAAGTAAAACGATTATTTAAGAAAAATATTTTAATTAAAAATAATAAAGTTAAAAATAAATTGAATTAAGCCTAAACTGACGTGTCTTTACAAAAGGCCGAAAGAAGTACACAGTTTACTTTTGTTATTGGTGTAGATACGTGATTTTGTTGGTGGCTCAAGAAAGAATACGTGAAAAGAGAAAGTATTCATTCAGTCAATAAATGTTTTAAAATAGTTGAAGAATCTAAACCACACGAAAAAT